GGAATACACCAGGGTTCCCTTGATTTCCATCTCCATCAATAAACTATCATGTTTAATTCAATATTGGATAACAACTTTCACTGCGAAAAGAGAATTGTCAATCGCTCAAGAGAATCGCAACAAGACTTCAATCTCTTGCCACATAAAAGAAAACTTGCTTCATACCAAAATATTCGCTTCAAATTATCCGGATGAAATGATCCAGGTAAAGAGGGACTCTAGGGAGAATACTTTCAAAAGTAATTGGTGTCACCCTCTTAAAATAAAGGTTTTTATTATTATTATTATTATTATTATTATTAAACATTTCTTATGGTACTGAATGGGAAAAATTGATTTACAATCAAGAGCCTCTTTAGTTGGCGATCATTTTCAAGATCCTATGACAAAAGCTACACGTGGCATGGTACCCACCATGCACCTGTGCTGCAATACAAGGCTCAAAAATAGTTTAAAATAATTCTCATCAGGACATTCCCATTAACAAGGTCAAAACTGCTTTGGATAGTAAAGATAGAGGCTTAGAATGAGTAATGGGTATTCTGGTATAGCAGTATAGCTGGTAACAGGTCTGCAAACTTTTAGAGTGATTTGAAGAAACCATCTTGGAAGACTTAGTTTCGACCAATAACTGTTTCCTATTTTTCACTGCCACATAAATAATGAAACTGTTTAAGAAAATAATCAGAAAATGCTTGGGCACAATAGTGATTAATTTATGGTCAAAGCAGTTTTCATAACATGAATTAAACTATAACTCTACCTTTTTAGCTTGACAATATTCTTTATCAGTCATCTGTACAAGCATCCATGGTCTAAGAATAAACATGGATAACAATTCAAGCTTCCACTGCATTCAAATAGGATTATTAGTTTGATGACCAGGTTGTGTTCAAATCAACGGAAAAAACTCTTAAGACCGATATGAGTTATTTCACAAGGGGAATAACAAATCATCCTAATTTGAAACTTACTGTTTTTTAGGGCCACCTAACAAGGAAAAATAAAATACAAAGAAAAATACAATCAGAAAAACTGCTATGATTATGTTATTTACACAAAAAGCATCAGTTTCCTCTTACAAATGCCTAATGTGAACAATTTTTGTGGTTACTGCCTCCCATAGGAGGATACAAGTCCCCCTGCTCACCTTAACAACAAGAAAACCAACCAGGGAGTCTGTTTGGGCATCTTAAATGATGTCCATACCAATTTAACCTTGCTAATCTTTCTGGTATGTTCACTCTTTCCCACCAAATACACAATCATAATACCCGATCTTCATCTGCCAGTAACTATTACATAAACTGTTCTAGGCTAAATCAACATAAAAACTCATTCTTCTATTTATTGTCATGTGTTTCTGTTTCTGTATTTTTATCACATACTGTCATTTGTGCTTTACTAATTTAATATTTAATTTCTGTTTCTTGTATATTTATTGAATCTTTTGTTTAGCCAAATTTTATTTTAGATGTTTTAGCGTCCACACACTACCCGCTGAGACTAGCTCTGCTATTTGTGGGTAGTGCGTCATTATGCCAAGTGTCATGTCATGACTTGTCTGTCTGATAAATGAAAAAGCCAAAAGGCCTTGAGGACTTGAGAGAAGCCCCCAGGGTGGGAGGGAGGGAGGGAAAACAAACAACAACTTGACTGACCGAAAAAAAGAAAAATTGCAACAAAACATCAATCAACACCCAGCCAGACAACGGTGTGGGGTCATGTGCCTAATTAGATCATTCCTGAGGAATATGAACGTTTTAAAAGTAACATAAAGCTCCAAAGTTGACGTTACCATCAAACAAAATGAGAAAGTTACATTAAACATTAAGGGAAGTTCTTTAAAAGCTGGTCACTAACACCCAACTATTCAGACCGGCATAGTCCTGTTAGTAATAACAGCTTCTTCCATTAGCAGCAGCCTCTAAGGCTAAAGATCATTAAGTCTCCCTGCTCAATACTCACTTGTTGCAAGATCTAATCCTGCCATTGAATCTGGGTGTAAAAAGAACAATGTCTTTCCTGTGCTCAATGCTAAGTAGTTCTCATATCGTTCATCAAATACAAGAAGAATTAAATCACCACTTTGAAAGCTGTGGAAAAAAAAACAAAGTGAAGATACATTGATTTTACAGTAACAGTTCCTCTTTCCCAGCTAGATCCAAGAGACCATTTACTGTACTGAGTCTGGCCAGAATCTTATAACCAAGTAAGTCATGTCACTATGTAAACACTGATGACTGAGCAGTCGTTACAATTTCTTTTTAGATGAGTCAATTTGACTTGCGAAGATATTAAGCTGAGAAAAACACTGCTCCTAGCCAAGGAATTTATGATGTCAGCATGCAAAAGTGATCCAAAATAATGTAAAAAGAAAAAAAAACACTTCTTACTCTATCAAAGACACTTTGTCCATCTTTGATGATACTGCACTTGCTCCACTCAGATGTTTCATCTGATTCTGTAAAAAATGAAATGATTAAATACAGGATACCACTACTACTGGAAGAAAATATAATTCTTCTATGCTTAATCCCCATATGATAAGTGTGGTCATCATTAATACAGTAGTACATAAATCTATTCACTCCCAGAAGTGACCAATAAGTTTATCATTTCAAGCTCCTTACTCCTTACTACCTTCCAGTGTGTATGTGTACTTATTGACTGAGCAGGGGGGGGGGGGAGACCTAAAGTTGTATTTCACCATCCAAGCTGACCTTAATCAGTCAGGATTTTGAAAGGGCCCATGTCTTTGTATGGCCCTGCTCACATTAAAGCCTACAGCCCTTGTAGAGGATTTTCTTTTTCAATAAAAGTGTGCATGTGGTAATAATACATAATCAAGCACACAGGCGATGAGAATCAATAAAAACATTTGCAAGCAGGTATTGTTTGATTTAACAACAAATTCTCATTGCAATACATTCCTTTAGAAGGAATATATTGCAATCAGTGAGGACTGTTGATACCAGAATCTAATGGGGGGGGGGGGGGGAAGGGAGGAAGGAAGGGTGAAAGAGGTAAGCTACTTTACTTACTAGCTGTTGCTTAAGAGTTTTTATCTGTTGATCTTTTGCATCCAGAGCCTGTAAAATATATACTTTATTATAAAGATCACTACTGGTTTTCTCATATTAGTGAAAACACACCCTAAAATATTAAGTAAGAATTTAATTTGAATCTGTTTGTAAATACTAGAGTGGCGTGCGAGAGGTTGAGGGTTCAAGTCCCAGACAAAAACAACAACAGAGAGAATGGATTGCCTTTGCTATGACATCCACAAATGGTTAGACATTCTAGTCTTCTTGGATAAGGACAACAAACCGTAGGCCCCACCTCTTACATCTTCCCTGTTCTGGTTGGAGTAGAGAAGGGAACATAGCTCCTGGCATTGTGGTCTGGCCTTGTCTTTGTTTAGACAGGCCCCCCTTTATTTTTTATTGCAAATAAATAAATACAGTAACTGTACTTTTTAGACTCACTTGTTTCAGCTGTCCAGACTTGTCCAAAGTTTGCTCAGACAAGTTTTCAGCAAGTCTCTTGTTTTCCTGTTAAAAGGAAATGTTAATTGCCACAAGGTCTGTCAGGGGAACCTCCTTATTTGTAATGCATATGGAGATCAACCAAAAATTTGTAACACTAAAAGGCATGCATGAGAACAACATTTGGAGAAGTGTGACTCAGATTTGGTGATTTTGACATGGCACTAAATGTTAACTTAAACTTGTAAAAAAACTTGAACCACAGGAAAAGTTGGCCATCACCTCTTCCAGTAATTTCACTTTCTGTTGATTATCTTCCTCAAGCACAGCATCAGTAACACAGCTGCAAACAGTGGTTATGATATAAAATTATTAAAGACTACTACTTGTTGCTTCATGCCTAATAATTTATACAATTTCCCTTTGTTTGTGTATCAATGCACAGAAAGCCCTCCTCTTTAAGAGAACATCTCACAGATAGCTAGTATCATTAGTTGACTCCAATAAATTGGTGTTTTAATCTCTACTGAAGACCTAACCCAGTTGTTCGAAGGGCAGATAATGCTACCCAATCAAAACATTGCTATTCAGTAAATAATTGTGAACAAAATGTATTGCAACATCCACTAGATAGAGATTCATCCAATGGATAAAGTTATACACCCTTTTCAACTCACTCAGTTTCTTGAAGTTTCCCTGGTAACCCTTGCCCTCTATTTGCTTCCCACAATTCTCGTTCAACCTGCAGCAATGCCAGTGCTGATGCTTTCTCCTTTTCAATCTGCTGCAAGAATTCTGCCTCTTTGTTTTTCATTAGGATCTCTGAGTTCAGAATTTTTGATTCTTTGTCTTGAAGAGCTGAGGACCAGAATTTTTAATTAGTATCTGAAATAACTGGTTTGAAAAGGAAGCTTTTCCATTTAGCAATGGAAAGCCTCATGACTACAGCCAGTGGACTACCTCCTTGGAAGTGCAGGCATAAGGTCACAATGGGGTTCTTGCATTGTAAAATTGAGCAAGCCACTCAGTGTACAAATGGTTTGTGGGAAAATTTCAAAGAAACCTGTAAATGTTTAGAACTGGAGGATCAGCTCTGACAGGTTTTATTTCCTAACAAAGGGAACTCATTGTTTGTAATAGCAATAAGGAGCGGAATATTCCTAAGCTTTCTATTGCATGGACCAACACTAGAAGTGATTAACGTGTAACTTCTCCCTACAATATCCACACATTGTCCAGCAAACAGGCAACGAGAATACTCAAACTTAGCAGGTGGAAATTGTTACCTTAATCTAACAACACATTCTTGACAATCAGATGTTAGGAGTTTTAAGGGTTAAATTGTGCTTTCCAAGGCTGATGCAACTTTTTAAGCAGCTCACTCCCCACTTCCCTGTAAAAGACTACAAACCAAAAATAAAACAAAAAACCACCTGCAACAAGTTCCTGTTCTCTTTTACAAAAGGCACTGCGGACTTGTCCAAGCTCTTCTGTGATTCTTTCTTTCTCCATTGCTAAGGACTTTACCTCTTTCTCCTGTTGTTCAACTATCTGTTTCAACTCTTTAATTTTTTCTTGTGCCTGTAAAACAGCATGTTCTTTCTCCCTCTTTAGTTTCATCATTATGGCATTGAATCGTATTTGCTGATCTTCCTCAAAGCGTGATTTGCTTTCTTGAAGCTTCTGTGCTGCACCCTCATGTTCTTCCAATTTGGCTTTGTAATCAGCCACAATTTCACTCAATTTTTCAGTTTCTTCTCTATGTCGACATTCACTTTTTTCCTTTTCAGCTTGCAGTTGCTTTAGTTGATCTAGAATTTCATTTTTTTCAAGGTCAAGTCTCATCTTGATTTCTAAGAAAGCTTGCTTTTCTTTCTCAAACTTTGCATTCATTTGCAACAATTCTGTTTCAAACTCTTCTTTAGTTTTCTGAGCAGTATTTTGAGCTATGTTTTTGCCACACAAATCCCCTTTTTCTTTTAAATTACCAACAGCAAGTAAAACATCCGCCTTCATCTTTGATTGCCACTCTAGCACCAGTCCTCTGGCATCATTTAGACACTGATGCAAAAACTTGAGCTCATCCTAAACACAATCTCTGACTTTTGTGTTCAGTTGTTCAAATGTTTCCTTTTTCAAAATTGTCTTCTCCCAAGATTCTTGGGTTGATCTTAATTGGTCTTGTAACTCTTCTAATCTTTGAAACACATCATTAGATCTTTCAGTACTCTGAGTTCCAGAACTAGCAAGAGTTGGTGTTTGACTGGCTTCCTCAAGCAATCCAGCACAGTCTTCTTGAACTTCAGCCACTGGTTGTAAATCAGGGGGGATCTCCTTTTCATTGAAATTAACCGTCAAATCCCCATCAAAAACAGTTACATAATCCTCATGTGCTGAACGAAAAACTAGGTCACTATCATCAGCTGCAGAGCTTTTCTCTGAAGAAGTATCACTGTTACTTTTTTTTCTCTGATTAGAATTATTATCATGAGGATTTTCGGTGGTCTCTGTAGTATCCTGAGTACAGTAATTTTCTGTGGCCCCTTGCCTCCCTTCCTGTTCAAGAGTATTCTGATTGCCACTACATGTCCATTCAGCTTGGGTTGAAGTGTCCACACTCATCTGGGTAGCTTTGCTCTCAGAAGAAGACATGTCCTCAATTGAGGATGTCACTTTCTTATCTGTAATACCATCACTAGTTCTTTCAAGTTTTACAGAAAATTGGGCTACATCGCTAACATTTTCAAGTTCTTCTGAATGTAAAAAACTGGTTTTTGTGCCTTCCTCTCCCATGCTGACATTGACAGAACTAGACTCCAAATAAGAAGCTAGCTCTGGAATCTGATCTTTCAATTCTTGTAGGTCTCTTTCTGTTATGACTGGAAGCTGTTCGTCAAAAGGTTTGGGTGGCTTTTCCTACAAAGAGAGATTTAGTAAGCATTAATGGTTGCTTAAACCATTAAACTCCCATGAGTAACCAACAGAATTTTTTCCTATGATATATCAATGCAAAACTAAGTAGACAAGTGATGAGAATAAAGAAATATCTTGATTGGGCGATTTTTTTACTTGATCCACAACCAAATTCTAAGAACTAATGACAAAAGAATTGTAAGGCAGACAGTAAGGAGAATTACTAAATGAGAGTAAAAAAGGGCTTATGTATAACATACATCAAATAATATTAATGAGCTAACATAATGAAATTTAATTCATGGGTAAAATAGATAAATAATCATTTGTTTCAAGAGATACAGACTGAAAAACATACCACAAATCTAGATGGCCTGTCAGACAAACCACTGAATAAACTTTGTAAAAAATGCTGGCCTAGAAAATATAAAAGAATAAATGTGGTGGTGATCGATTTGGCATAAAATATATGTACATAAATTCTCTGAACACAGATAGATTAGAGTAAAGTAAACTTCAAAATCTACGTCAATAGCAAATTAAAGTATTATAAATTCACAGGTCACAATTTCAAGATAAAAGAATATCAGAGCTATTTCATGTAGATGCCATAACTCAATCCTCAAAACGTTTGAATCAAATAATTGTTTCCTTCATTTCTGATTTATTAACATATAAGTCATGCACCATTTTTTAAATAACATAATAGCAAATTAAGAACAAGTGACATATTTTTACTCACCAAACTGCAACTCAAATTCCTCTCTGTGTGCAGTTTCCTCTGTCCTTGCTTCTAATGAGATCTCACATAATTTACTAGCCCACTGGGGAGGAAAACGATTATCAAACTAATTTATATATTGACTACCCAAACCTTAAAAATTTTATTTAGAAAAACAGAATTTGTACTGAGCTACTCTGAGTCAAAGATAATGAAGTGAATTTTTACCTTTTGAAATTGCGAAGAAAATGACCTTCTTCTCACTACTTCTGCAACAGCTAAGATATACATGCGTGGTGCCTCGTTCACTTGTTCAATAATCTCCAACCTAAAACAATATAACTTTTAATCAATCATTGATATAACAAAGATTTGTAGATCTTCATATTTTGCTTACCTTCGCTTTATTCTTCTTATATTTTCATGATACATGATGATGGTTCCATCACATTCACATATCTTCTTCTCAATATACATGATCCATCTATTGTAAATGATGTAGGATTGTTGGTCAGTGATACCGTAAATCCTTTAATAAACCCCCCCTTTAATAAGCCACCCCCCTCTAATAAGCCACCCTCCTCTAATAAGCCACCCCCTCTAATAAGCCACCCCCCTCGAATAAGCCACAACCCTCTAATAAGCCACCCCCCTCTAATAAGCCACCCCCATCTAATAAGCCACCCCCCT